TTCCTTTCCCTTATAAAAGCTTTAGGATTGTTTTTCTGGCCTAGCCAGTGTACTTTTTCAATTTACACACATTTCAGTTTTACTCGGTCAAAGAAAAGGCAGCTCAATCTACTTCTAAATAATTTACCTTATCCGTTGGTTCATAGAGTATTGGCAACCTCTCTTCAACTTTGTCAAGTCCTATACAAGCATAGTTGTTGGCAACAGCAACTGGGGAAAAAAAGAATAATTAAGATGTTGTTTGCATGCTACTTCAGTTTCTTTTCCTGTATTTCTGCTCTAGCATGTTCTGCTTAGTATGGCCTGTCAAGTTGTATCCAATTTATGGCAACCCTAACCGTGTTTTCAAGGTTTGTAACATATTTTACAAGTAGTTTTACCACTACCAGTCCCCACCCCCCAGTGAATTTTCATGGCCAAGCAGCAATTCAAACCCTGAGTGCTAATTTGTCACCCTATCCTAACCTAGTAGGCATCCTTCAGTCTCAAAAGACTATGGTAGCGTGCTCTGTATGGAGGACTTGGAACAGCGTCTAGTGTGGCTGAGGAGGCCAATTCGAGAGTTACAATCTCTTCCACACTGAAGACAAATCCAATCTGTCCCCTGTCCAGCTCCCTGGTTTTGCTTCCTTTGTGACTTCCTCTTTGCCTCAGCCTGCTGGACAAGGGTCTCTTCAAATTGGGAGAGGCCGTGATGTACTGCCTGCCTCCAGGCTGAACGATCAGATGTCAGAGTTTCCCATCTGTTGAGGTCTATTCCTAAGGCCTTCAGATCCCGCTTGCAGATATCCTTGTATCGCAGCTGTGGTCTCCCTCTGGGGCGATTTCCCTGCACTAATTCTCCATATAGGAGATCCTTTGGAATCCGACCATCAGCCATTCTCACAACGTGCCCAAGCCAGCGTAGACGTTGCTGTTTCAGTAATGTATGCATGCTGAAAATTCCAGCTCGTTCTAGGACTACTCTATTTGGAACTCTGTCCTGCCAGGTGATACCAAAAATCCGTCGTAGGCAACGCATATGGAAGGTGTTCAGCTTCCTCTCCTGCCGGGCACAAAGGGTCCAGGACTCGCTGCAGTACAGGAGTGTGCTCAGGACACAGGCTCTATAGACCTGGATCTTGGTATGTGTTGTCAGTTTCTTATTGAGCCATACTCTCTTTGTGAGTCTAGAGAACATGGTGGCTGCTTTCCCAATGCGTTTATCCAGCTCGACATCTAGAGAGAGGGTGTCAGAGATGGTTGAGCCAAGGTACACAAAGTCATGAACAACCTCCAATTCTTGTGTGGAGATGGTAATAGAGGGAGGTGAGTCCACACCCTGGCCCATGACTTGTGTTTTCTTCAGGCTGATTGTTAGTCCAAAGTCTTGGCAGGCCTTGCTGAAACGGTTCATGAGTTGTTGGAGGTCTTCAGCAGAGTGGGCAACAATGGCTGCATCGTCTGCAAGGAGGAAGTCCCTCATGCATTTCAGCTGGACTTTGGTCTTTGCTCTCAATCTAGAGAGATTAAAGAGCTTTCCATCTGATCTAGTCCGGAGATAGACACCTTCTGTTGCAGTTCCAAAGGCATGCTTCAGCATGACAGCAAAAAAGATCCCAAAAAGTGTTGGTGCGAGGACACAGCCCTGTTTCACTCCGCTTCGGATGTCTAAGGGATCTGATGTTGAGCCGTCAAAAACTACAGTGCCTTTCATTCCATCCTGGAAGGACCTGATGATGTTAAGGAGACGAGGTGGACATCCAATCTTGGGAAGTATTTTGAAAAGGCCATCCCTGCTAACCAAGTCAAATGCTTTTGTAAGGTCTATGAAGGCCACTAAGAGTGGCTGTTGTTGTTCCCTGCATTTCTCCTGCAACTGTCGGAGGGAGAATACCATGTCAGTGGTGGATCTATTTGCTCGAAATCCACACTGTGATTCCGGATAGACTCTGTCTGCAAGCACCTGGAGCCTCTTCAGCACAACACGGGCAAGCAGCTTCCCTACAACGCTAAGAAGAGAGATACCACGGTAGTTATTGCAGTCACCCCTGTCACCTTTGTTCTTGTACAATGTGACAATGTTTGCATCCTTCATGTCCTGTGGTACTCCACCTTCCCTCCAGCAGAGACAAAAGATTTCATACAGTTCGGTGATGATGATCTCCTTACCGCATTTCAGCACTTCAACAGGGATGTTGTCCCTTCCAGGTGCCTTGCCAGAGGTGAGGGAATCCAAGGCCGCATTTATTTCTGCTAGGGTTGGTTCGCTGTCCAGCTCTTCTAACCTATCCTAACCACTCCCTAGTTTATTCAGAACAATCTTTATACAGTACTGGCTGTCCAACTTGCATGTTGCCAAAGCCCTTTAGAAAGCAATAAACTATTTCTTGTCCCTCTGACAGCTAGTAGGAATAGGTTCCCAAAGCCAACACCCAAACAAGGGAGTGCAAAATGTGATCTGCCAAGTTTCTGTGAGCCATTTGGAAAATAAGGGAAAGGGGAAACACAAGACACAACTTAGAAGTGAAAAACTGGGACATAAATGAATTTGAGCAAGGAGCTTTTTTACGTACTAAGCATCTTACAAATCAAATTCATTAAGCACCAGTAATTAGAAATTTAATCTTGGAGGCAAACTGTATTCATCTTCACACATAATTGGTTTAAAAGCTGTTGTTTAGTCATAGCTTTTCTAAGACTTATTGTATGTCCGAGCAACATTTGTAGGCATTATTGCTTGTGCAGCAGTTCATGACAGCTGTGTTTACTAAAAGCCATGTATCTTAGGAAATATAATGTCCACAGGGGGAGACACAAATTTAACTTGTGTCCTTGCCATTCTGTAGAAAAGATGAGACTACTAAAACAGGGCACTCTGCAAGTTACAGTCCAAAGGGATGATATACAGCAATCATTAGACAACACAACCTTCAGGATCCTCCTCCCTTTGATCATTTTCTTAACACCAGATCTATTATACTGAGGCTTTTGGGAAGGAAAAATCTGTAATTTCAACTACTGTTCCTGCATATAGACATTTTAAAAATGTCATTATATTTGTGATTTTATGTGACTTGAATTGCTAACTACCTTAAATACCATGAAAGACAAGCACAATACAGGCAGGTAAGGTAACATTCAAATTTACACAAAACACTGAACCATACTTCCCAGTTTACTACTACATGTGACATATTCCAGAGCATGAAGCCTGTTGATTCTTCACTCTACATGAATAGGCAAACCAAACAGGAAGGGATAGGTTAATGTGATGTCCACAAATCCAGTGATGGCTTGCAGTCCTGACTTGTTTAGGAGTGAGAACTGAAGATTCCAAATTCAGACATAACATTAAGCTATCCCTTTTTGATCAATTCCACCCATTCAATTGACATGAGGAGCAAAGTGGAAACAAACCGGTTGCACATACCAATAGAGCACTCTTCTAAAAAAAAAACTTATTTTTGTGTGAGCACAATCAGCATAATAACTAGCCCACTCACCGAAGTCTTGGAACTAGCACTGTAGTCACCACCAAGTGGCTGTGGGATACCAGCTGGTCAGAGAATGCAGTGTCCAAGCTACTCCTATGCCACATACACCCAGTCAAAACATTTAAAAAATAATTTTGCTCTCATGTGATTCCTGCTAGGAATCCTGCAGGGAACCAAATGTACAAGTGATAAAAAAGCTCATATGACTTACAGTTCCTGACGTGTACATCCATCATTATGAATAGCTTGCAGCACAAGACTAGTCTGAAAACCCACAAAATACGCAGATAATACCCTGCCAAATGTCCTACAGGCAATTTTAGTTATCAAGAACAACCCACACACATGACTACTGGAGTGCAAAAAGCCTATTTAAGTCAGTTAAATCATCACTCCAAAATTAAGCTTAATGCATAATTAAGAAACCAAACTTTGTTTTACTATGTTTTCCAGTGTTTGTTTTGATATGCTATTATAAAATTGACTTTTAAAAAATTGCTGAAAGGAAATTTTAAGAAATCTCCAGACTCTCAAAGATGTAAACCTAGGCACACATTAGAAATGAACAGATGTTGGAAGTCTTTTCTGAATCTGAATTTGAAACAAAGAATTTAACCAAGTGATAAACCAAATTTGTGATAGAAAGTAAAAAGTAAAAAAAAAAAAGCCTTACTCTGTGGCTCCAGCTTTTGGATGATAGGCAGAGCATTGGTTATGGCCACTGCAGTAATGGTCTTCATTCCTTTTTCTGCTATCTCGCATACAGATTTCAGGTAGGGATGGTTTTCTTTTGTGCCGACATAAGCAGAAGAGATCATATCATAGGTGGAACTCACCAGGGGAAGGTTGGCAACCCTGGAAACCACACTCTGTGCATATAGAAGAAATTACATTAATCCACATTTCTTTTTGAATAAACAGCTGACATTATTTTATGAGATAAATGGCAGATACCTGCTGGGCATCAATAGATACTGCTGCCATGTTGTGGCCTGGAGTATCCTAAAGTCTAAAAGAAAATAGGGCAAATTATAATGGAATGTAACACTTTAAATAAAATTTAACATCTGGTAAGGTACAACCGCAAAGATGTAATCAATGTTCATTGGTTTAAATCCTTTTTCCTGAAAAGGAACATTAAATCCAGTGCTTAATATTTTGGGGATTATTATTTCTGTCCTAAACTGGCAGGTCCATTTGGTAAGAATACAGGCATAAACTGAATTGGATACGATCAAACCCTATGTACTATGCAAAAAACATGTAGTAGTAAATAAATTGTCTAGTGGATTCTGACTCTAGAGTACTCAGAAGTTGTTTACCATTCCCTTCTTCTAAGTACAGCTTTCCCACTGCCATACAGGCTGGTTCACCTCCTGCAAATCACAGTGGGGGGATTCAAGCCCCTGACTACGGCTCCGCAGCCAGGTGTTTATGTTCACTCAGGTACACAGCCAGCCAACAGGGGTGAACTTGTACACATTTTGTACAAAACAATCTTGTATGTACTCAAAGTCTGCCTTATTTACATTAAATCACATTTAAATTAAGACTGCAAAACCTGAAGCTGGAAGTCATTTTCTTGCAGTCTGCTATATGAATGTGAATAGCTTCCAAGTTTATCAGTTATGCATTCATCATATAATCAAGGCTGTGACCTAGGGATAATAACTCATTAAATGCAGATCACACAAGCAATGTTATGCAAGTGGTACTCTTTGCTCTCTTTACTGTAATACTATGGGAAATCTGGCCAACATACTGTATCTATTCCCTTTATCACCATGTTGGATATGACAGTATCTGTTTGCAAACACCAATACCAGTTGTATTATTGGAACACGTCACTGTACTATTGTTAAGATGGCTGCTCTGGAATATACCTCTAGTTAAGCACAGTCGAGTTTTTCTGCATAAATGGGATTCTGATAATCTGACAGGTGGATTTTTCGTTCTGGTTCCCATTTTTTCTGCTGTTATTACATAGAGGGCTGCATCTTATAGCACCTTAAAAACGTACAGATGGTCCTCTAAGTTTGGTTATCAATATCAGGTATTACTGCCCCATTAACAGAAAGATGGTACTCCAAAATAGGAAGAATATAAACAGTGAAGAAGAGAAGATCTTTACTTTGCTGATCTGTGGTTAAAGGATGGGACCACTGAGGTTTTTATTTTACAGTCAAATCTTATGTAATATCAGAAGAAACACCAAACACTTAAAAATTGTATCCGGTCTATGAAAGACAAATAGCTGAAACATGGGCCAACACTGTTGACAACAACAGACATAACATTCAGTTCCATTACAACAGTAGCCTTACACCCAGTCAGCCTATTCTACCTACCAGAGTTTTATGGAATACAAGTAAAAGGCTACCAAATTGGTTCAGGTCTCTGGCTGCAGAGCCAGAGGTTGGAAGTTAAATTCCCCACTGGGCCTCCTTGTCGGGGGTTGGACTTGACCACCCAAGCTCTACAGTTGTAAGATTACCCTTCTAAGGAATTAAACCTCTATCATGGAAAACCTTGGGCAACAGGGGTAAGCTTTGTCCTTTTGCAACCTCAGCTACATGCTGATTTAGGTTTAGAACTTAACTATGCCACATAGGCCTTAAAAAGTATGGCCAACAACAAGGCCAGTGGAGATGATGGCATTCCAGTCAAACTATTTAAAATCTTAAAAGATGACACTGTTAAGGTACTACACTCAATATACCAGCAAATTTGGAAAACTCAGCAGTGGCCAGAGGATTGGAAAAGATCAGTCTACATCCCAATCCTGAAGAAGGGCACTGCCAAAGAATGCTCCAACTACTGTACAATTGCACTCATTTCACACGCTAGCAAGATTACGCTCAAAATCCTACAAGGTAGGCTTCAGCAGCAGGCGGACCGAGAACTCCCAGAAGTACAAGCTGGATTTCAAAGGGGCAGAGGAACTAGAGACCAAATTGGAAACACGCGCTGGATTATGGAGAAAGCCAGAGAATTCCAGAAAAACATCTGCTTCGTTGACTACCCAAAAGCCTTTGACTGTGAGGACCACAGCAAACTATGGCAAGTCCTTAAAGAAATTGGAGTGCCTGACCACCTAATCTATCTCCTGAGAAACCTATACGTGGGACAGGAAGCAACAGTTAGAACTGGATATGGAACAATTGACTGGTTCAAAATTGGGAAAGGAGCACAACAAGGCTGTATATTGTCCTCCGGCTTATTTAACTTATATGCATCATGCAAAAGGCTGGACTGGAGGAATCCCAAGCCAGAATCAAGATTGCCAGAAGAAATATCAACAACTTCCGATATGCAGATGATACCACGCTCATGGCAGAAAGTGAGGAGGAATTAAAGAACCTTGTAATGAGGGTGAAAGAGGAGAGTGCAAAAAACGGTCTGAAACTCAACATCAAAAAAACTAAGATCATGGCCACTGGTCCCATCACCTCCTGGCAAATAGAAGGGGAAGATATGGAGTCAGTGACAGATTTTACTTTCTTGGGCTCCATGATCAATGCAGATGGAGACAAAAGCAGAGACATCACCTTACCAACAAAAGTCTGAATAGTCAAAGCAATGGTTTTTCCTGTAGTGATGTATGGAAGTGAGAGCTGGACCATAAAGAAAGCTGACCGCAGAAGAATTGATGCCTTTGAATTGTGGTGCTGGAAGAGGCTCTTTAAGCAATACATGTACATGATCAAGGAAAGAAAAAGATAAGCTCTCAAACTTATTGAATTATAATGCAGGGTATCTGTCTCTGACAGGTTGCAAGTATCTGATCAGTCCTCCATGTCAGTCACTGACATTTCCCTAGAAACTGATTCATCCAAAGATCTCGCACTCCTAAGATTTCAGTGGAACTGCCGCACAAACTCCACTGAGAAGAACCAAACCGACATGGATCTCACATGTTTCCTGGCTCACAGAAGGAAGGAAGCTTCCTGGAGAGAGCAAGTTCAGTCCTTAAGAGATTACATCACTTCAGCGAGCTGTTTCCCTCTCACAAAGAAGGGTTTTAGAAAGAAGCCTCCTGCCATGCAGCTACACCTACAGGAAAAGGATCCACCCCTGGCCCTATCCAACACCCTTTTCAGCCACTAGTTTCCCATCCACTAGAAACAAAAGGACTGTCAGTCCGGTAGAAGCAAAAAGACGAAGGCGCCTGGCTTGACGGCTCCCTATCGCCACGGACTCTTCCGTCGAGTGTGGGCTTCCCTCGCGCAAAAGCGCTCAGCATAAGCCTCCGTACTCACCCTTGCAACTGGCAATAACCCAAACAGCGTGGAGATCCCCTAAAGACGCCTCCGAGCTTCCCCCAGCAATTTATGCAGACAGCAAACTCCCCCCCCACCGCACCACCTCTCGCGAGATAGCGGGCGGGGTGTTGACCAGGTTGCGTCCCTCAAGCCGCACCCTTCTCACATGATTACCCGCAGGAACCAGACTCCGGTTCAGAGGCTGCGCGGATCAGCTGATCCGGCGGCGCTGGCCTTCTACTTGGGGTGGAGCAGCGACTGGAGCAACATAAATGTGGGAGGCTGAGAGGTGCGGGTTTAATCAGAAAGAACGCAGTGTTTGGATCCCTGTAGCTGTTTTTGGCTGGAAGGAGGAGTTACACCCGTGCCTCGATCGCCTCTAAAAACAATAATAATGCACGAAACAAACCGAGTCCCTTTCCGCTAGGTAGGAACTGCAAAGAGGATCGCCTTGGGAGGGTTGTTGGAAACGGGAAGGAACCGTGTGTGATCGCAGGTGCCATCCTGTCCACCGTTACTTAGAAGTAAGTCCTGCTGGTTTTCAAGGGTCTTACTCCGTAACAACAGTATGTGGATTGGCAGCATTTATGGCAAAACAAATTTGTTACTTTTAAAGGTGCTCCAAAGACTCTTATTAGGCAGCGTGGCTTAGAATTTGATATGAAAAGGATCATTGCTCCTTTGAAATCTCATCCTAATAAGGCTTACAGATAAACGGACACATGACTGCAACCTACTAGCACAAGCTTTCATAAAGTATGAAGCTCAGTCCATTAGATATACTGTACTGTACAGAGTGTATCTGCTGTTGTGGAACTTGGCAGTTAGCCAGTATTATTTGGTTATATTTATTATTTATTAGCATGTAATACCAAATTTTTAAAGCTCCCAGCATAGCCATGCAGTGTGAGTTGAGCATAGTCTGTATAATTTTCTATACAGTACACATCTCTCTTAAAAAAGCATCAAAGAATACAGCAAAATGTAAATATCATGTAAATATCAAGTTCAGAAGATACCCATTCCTACTCATTGATGACCAATAAAATCTTACTTAAATGTAAATACTAGTTTAGAATACTGCACATTTTATTTAGTAGTTGTAGATTGTGGATATTTGGCAGGGGTGGGGCACAGACGAAGATGGTCCATCCCAGAAAGCTGATGGATCTACAGTAAATGGTGCCTTGACAGCTCTCAGGGAATTCCCTATCACCATGGGAAGTAATTCTGTTGAAGCCATAGTTGATCTCTGGAATGGGGAAAGGGCAAAAGCCATTGACAGGGTTGCTCCTAAATGTCTCCTCCCATAAAGTGGAACGAGACTGGCCACCTGATTTAACTGGGAAGCTGGTGGTGATTAAACAAGACAGGCATAGATTGAGCAACAATGGCAGAAAACTCAGAGTGAATCTGACCAAACATGAAGTAGGTCTCATAGCGAGGCCTATTCTGTGACAGTGGCAGTGGCAAAGACGTCATTCTTCTCTGCTGTCATTGCTGCACAGAGTTGTCCAGCAGAACTTTTCTAGAGGTCAAAGGCTCATCACACATTGAAGGAAGAGAGTGCAGGCCACACTGTAGCTCACTGTGAACACAACACTTTGAGGACCAGATTATTTAGATCTGTTCCCATTTGGATGATACAGGTCCTGTGAATATAACTATGGCTCCTGCTGGCCCTGTTGTTAATGGATGAGTTTCAATTTCTGCAGCTTGATTATGTGGACAAGACCCTTGGAGAGGTTAAGGCTACCCCGTGTCTGTTGGAGCCTTGCCCTTCCTGGCTTATAAAAGCTGCCAGGAAGTGTCTGGTTGAGTGGGTAGAAGGAGTGGTGAATGACTCCTTGTGACAGGGTAGGGTCCCAGCATTCTTAAAGGAGGCAATAGTAAGACCATTGTTGAAAAAGCCCTCCTTAGATCCAAAAATACTGAATAATTACTGACCTGTCTAATAATCTATTATTGGGCTGGAGCAGGTTGTGGGTTCTCAGCTTCAAGGGTTCCTGGATGAGACAGATTATCTAGCTCTATTTTACTCTAGATTTAGGCCTGTTTATGGGATAGAAACTGCCTTAATTGCCTTGGTGGATGACCTACTCCGGGAACTGGACAGGGCCAGTATGTCCCAGTTGGTTCTGCTGGACCTCTCAGTGGCTTTCAGTATCATTGACCATGGTATCCTTCTGGCCCATCTCTCTGGGAGGCCCTGTTTTACGATGGCTCCAGTACTTCCTGAAGGAGAGAACTCAGAAGGTGGCATTGGGGGAATCCTGTTTGACACTCTGGCCACTGGCCTATGAGTTCCTCAGGTTTTGTTTGGTCTCTTATATTATTTACCATCTACATGAAACTGCTCGGAGAGGTTATCTGGAGTTCTGGGGTACGGTGTCACCAGTATGTAGATCAGTGGTTCTTAACCTTTTTGAAAGAAACGCCCCCTTGAGCCATTGAGGAAGTTATCATCGCCCCCCTCCCCGCAGTGGTGATATTTATTTATTTATTTATTTATTTATTTATTTATTTATTTATTTATTTATTTATTTATTTATTTAAGACACTTAAATCCAATGACCCCTGA